CTCGCTGGAGGACACGCCGTCAACGCTAAACGTCGTGGTCCACAAGGGTCGCTGTTCTTGACAAAAATTGTCGCAAGCCTTTTTGCGTGCAAAGTTTTTGACTTTTGGAATGCGGAATTCAACAACTCCCAGACCAGGAATTCAAATGTGTTTAAAAGAAATTGCCAATCAAAAGAGGAGTGTTAAATTTTGGCGAGCAAAAGCAGCCACGGCGCGTAGAGCGTGCCGCACTTTGCGGTGGCCGCCTGCCGCCTGGAGGAGGTTCCCATCTAGGACCTCTTTTCGGGAAGGATTGCGTCCCATTCCGTGTGACGAATTCTCTTTGATGCGAGTAGGGAGAGAGAGAGAGAGAGGCGAGGCTGCGTTACCACGGCCCTCCTCGCGAGCCTTGCCACGCTACCGACGTTAGACACGCGTCGTCTCCACGCCCGCGCGGCCTGCGATGGGACGAGACTGGACGGTCCGCCGCGGAGCGAAGAGGGATGTGTCCTCCGGGCGGCGCGTCCAGGCTCCCGGGCGGGCTGCTCCGGGGAGGCTCCAGACCGAGCGTGACGCGCGGCCGCGCAGCACAAGGTCCTCCCGGGCAGGACCGAGCAGGACCCCCAGGAGAAGGACCCCCGCGGACGGCGCCTCCGGGCAGGAACCGGAGGACGGTCATTTGCCGACGCAAAGATGCGCCTCGATAGCGCCACGGTCTGCAGGCAGGAGCGGGCGGCGCAGGCAGAGGACGCACCGCGTACAACACTGCCGCAGCTACAGGACCCCCGCAGGCCGCAGGACATGGGCCTTGGGGCAGGTCATGTCGGGGAGCCGCTTTTCTCTCCGGCTCTTAGGCACTTCTCTTCGTTTTATAGCAGAGCTTCTCATAAAAATTATGGTTACGATGAGCTAATTTTCTCGTCAGTCTGACGCCGTTTACTAATGTCCCGCCCACTCTGCGATCTCCACAAAAATCATCTCTCTAAGATTGTGAAACTGGATCGATGAAAAAAGAATACGCCGTTGTCTTTGCCGCTCGCTTACCTTTTGTTTTTGCTCGCTGTTGCAGGTGCACTATGAGGTGGCCCGCCCCCGCCCCCGTCGCGCCCCGGCTAGACGCCCCGCCATGATCGGCGCCCCCGCCGGCCTCTTGGGTAAGTAGACGTTACGCGGGACGGTTCGAATTTGAACCTACTCCTACCCTCCAAAAAGGGCCGCGCGGGGCACAACTTC